TAAGATTTTAGCTGTTGAAAGTGCCCTGAAAGTCAGAGTGACGAAACCCCACTCTAGTGATTAAAGGGATATTAAAAATTATTTGGCTTAATGCTTAAGAATCTATATTTATAGAAGTCAAAGTAGGAAAACATTATTATTGCCAGGCTAAGAGCCGCTGAGGGAGTTTTTTTATTTCCCTTATAAACCACATTTCCACATTATAGTACTTATCTAAAATTGAACAGAAGTTCAAATATATATTATTTCTTTCTTTAACTAAGAAAGCTAAATCTTAAATTCACATATTAAATCTTAATATCATAATATCATAAAATTAAATTCGACTTAATCTTTTTTAATTTTATAAATAAACATAAATATTCATAAAATAAAATTCGGCTTTTAATCTTTTTTAATTTTATAAATAAACACTTTTTTCGGTCATCGTCATCATTATTAATTCACTTATTCAAAATATTTCTTTGGCTTCGTTAATAAATTGCAACCATGTACTGTACTTACCAAAAAATTTAAAAAACGGATTATAAAGAAAAGCATAATTATTGAATGCTGCCCATTGCATAGATATACCTAGTGTTATCCACCAGTTTGTACCATTTTTTTATGTACCGATAGGGATAAAGCCTACATATTTCATATGATCGTTTTTGGATAAACTTCTTTCATCATATTGTGGTAACTTTCTAATATAGATTATGCTTTCTAATCTATATTTTATACGTTATACTATGATTTCTTTACATCGACTAAGGTACTTTGTTAATCTTAAGTTTCCTTAGGTGTACACACGAATATTTTCCATGCGGTTTATAATTCCAAAATCTTTGGTTAAAGAAAAGTGAATTTCTAAAATAAAAGCTAATATAATAACTTTAAACTATGCTTATCATACTGTTTGAGTAGTAAAAAAAATAACGGGGTTCTGGCCTTCAGCAGAATAGAAGACTGTTAGCATATTAAAATGTTTGTGCTACTTACTGCCCCTAACCTACCACAAAATATTCTGCCATTCCATTGAGTACCAGCATATATTTTTTATAGAATGTTCTTATATCAGACAAAGATAGAGATTACTGGTCAAGATAAAACCCGAACCGTCATTAGAAGTGTTTCTATAAATGTAGATGACATTTAACATATAACATACTATATAAATTACATGTAAATATGATATTTTCTTATCTAGATTTAAAAGATCGGTAAGCTACCACCGAACTTATGGAAAGTCAATGAGAAATTAAATATATATCTTTGATTAATTAATTTGATTAATTAAGTAGCAATGTATTGCAGTAATAAACGTTATGCTATATTTGATATATGTATTAAATATCTTAATATTTTAATAATGTACAAGGACCACGTAGTCATCTTTTAAATTTTTTTCTTTCGGATAAGTATATATGTTGTTAGAAATTTTTTTAAATAAATAAAAAATATTAGTGTTAAATATATTTTACATTCATTAATTTTTATTTTATTGGAATTTAAAAGTAATGAAAATAATTTGTTTTTAATTTTTTATATGAAATAGAATTTAATTTATTATATTTTCAAGAAATACAACAATGTTGTCGAGCCAAATACCCGCCTAACTGCCAAATGTCATAATCAACTTAAAGCTTATATTCTATAAAATCATATAATTTTAAAACTAAATCATTTAATTATAGTAATACTTAAAAGAAAAATTCATCAATAATTATTAAAGTCCACATTAATATAATAATGTCATAACATAACATTATTTAGTAGAAATAATATCTTGAGGCTTTTATTCTCACAATTTAGACATAATAATGGTATACCATACAATACTGATAGCACAAGCAACTAGTGAATGGAGTGAGAAATATATAGTAAAAATGTCATTGTACTCTGTACTATACAACAATAATTTAACTTATGTTCCATTTATATATATATATATATATTTTTTTTTTAATTTTAAAATTTATTGCGCAAAGCGAACGTACTGGAGCAGTGAAATCCTTTTTGCTGTCGAAAAAATTATGATGTTGCGCTTGTAACGGTGCAGTCGTGTTAAAATAAATGTCCACCTTTTGCCACTTGTGACATTTGCATCGCTTGGATGTGTCAATTGTGTTTGTTATTATGCTTGCTTGGTTAGTCACAGTCTTGTCTGGTGCAGGTGGAAAAACTGTAACCTTTTTCACCTTAGACATGTTGATTTTTTCCACTCCAAGTGCAACCGTCAATCGCCGAACGCTCATGAAACCACTGTCGATGCAGTTTTGCAGTTTTATTTGCTTTACGTGAATTGTTTGTCAAAATAAACTTTAATTGACAATTTATTTAACATTTACCGTATTTTTATATTTTTTTTAAAATTTGTTTTTCCATACATATTTCAGTAAATTATTATCTATGATCCTTAAAATTATGATGCAATAATGCTACTAAAGGTTAACTAACACATTTTACCATTAATTTAGTAAGCACCTTTGAAGTAAAATGAATGTAAAATTTAATAATTAATTTTATGTCAAAATACTTTAAATATTGTATTTTAAAAGAGAAAATCATTAAGTAATTTATTTTATTATGATAGATATTTATTATAAATAAGTAAATAAAAATTAAGTGAAATTTTTAAGCTAACATTAACAAACATTTGTGCATGTTAAACAAATTATAATTAACAATAATAATTATTTAAAAATAAATTTTTATAGAAAGTTTTAAATAGTGAGTTATTAATTGTAGGTTTTATGTTTTTTTTAAAGAGTAAAAAGAATAAGGACTTCTCACTAAAATGGTTATAGTTAAAATTCTTTGGATAATTTCATGAATCTGGATTTATATTTAAATGTATGAATAAATATATCAGTAACTCATTAACGATAAACTACTTCAATTTTTTTTTTATCTAAAATAAACTTATACTAATCTTTAAACTGTAAGATAGAAGTTATAATTAATTTTGTTTTTTATTTTTCTGATTCGTATTTACATTGAAAAGGTTTATACTCAACTTTTCAGAAATTTTCAAACTTAACAACACTTACTTTAAATATAATATATATGAAATTTGATTTTTACGTCGACATGATAGCACTTTAATAGACTTTATTATTAGCATTATTTTTACTTTAATAGAAACTGTGTTTGTAGTGAACTACAACAACAAATATTATTTTTTTATATTATGTTAATATAATTTTTTGTTCTTATATTTACTACTTTTCGAAACCTCTCTGTAATATATATGTTTATATTAAATATTCAAATCAACAACAGAAGAAACGAGAAGAGCGCACTAAAATTTCAATTATACTCATATGTTGAAAATAAATCATAAACCAGCTGTAGAATAATTGAGTTAATTAATTAATTATATTTTTATTTTTAATTGTTAAATTTCAATACTATTCTGTTCTGAGGCATTATTTGTTGCATGATTTCTTCTTTCTTATGTATAGAACCTAATCTAGGAACGTAATGCTGAGAATTAATTTTTAATTTTATATGATGTATTACTCTTTATGAATGTTTATAAACTCTTTTAGTTATATACCACAACACAACCGACCTATAGATCTTAAAAGACCCTAGCATTGTAACAATCCAAGTTGTATCGTAATTACCCAAGCTAATGTCCATTTTCAAGTACGATTTTCTCTTTTTTTATTAAGAAATTAATTAGTCATTACCTTAGTCTTCCTCAATTTTTTGATTTTAAATGTGTACCCAAGATATCATTAATAATCATTCATATAAAAATATGAATTAAATATAACAGAAGAAATTTTCATGAAGATGTTAGTGTATTTAATTTACAGAGATTATGATCTACTGTTGATCTTGTAAAGATTTCTAATCGTCAATCATTAAATGAAAAGTAAAAGATAGTATAAGACTTATAATAAATATAGTAAAATACTACTAGTAAAACTAAGAATATAGTCACAGAGCTGACAATTCAAAAGCAAAAGATTTGCTTGAAGCACAAATTATTCTTAAAAAGAATTTACATTAAGACCGAAAAGTTTTCGGAAATTCTCATTTAAAATTCGCGCGCTGTATATTTTTCGATATTTTAAGTTTATGTAGTTTGGCAGCACTGTCCTTAATTACTATGCCAAAAATGAGCGCGATCTGTCAGACAGTTCGTTTACGGCAGCTGTTGAAACCAGTTCACCTCAGTAGGGCGTTGCGAAAAAAACAATGGAAAAAAATATTGAACAAAGAGTTTGCATCAAATTTTGTGTTTCGAACGAAATTTCGTGTGCAGAATCGTTGCGAATGCTACAAAAGGCTTATGGGGAATCAGTTTTATCGAAAACTCAAGTTTATGAGTGGTACAAAGCCTTTCAGGACGGTCGTACGACCGTCGAAGACATTTCGCAACGCACTACTGAGGTGAACTGGTTTCAACAGCTGCCGTAAACGAACTGTCTGACAGATCGAGCTCATTTTATTTAATAGTATTATATGTAGTAGAATAGTATATTATTATTATATTTAATCCTTTTATTCCTAGGTGGAACAGAGGGCCGTAACAAATAGTTTCCATTGAACTCTATCTAATGCAAGACGTTTTGTTTCACTCCAGCTCTTTCCAGCATTTCTTAATTCGGCTTCAGTTTGTCGTTTCCAAGTGTTGCGCGGACGCCCTGGTCTTCTGGTCTTCTTCTTCCTGGTTGCTAATACGAAAATAGTATTAGCACTCTCACAACATTTTTTCTAGAAATCATGAATTTTCATTGAAAATGAAAATTTTTTTAAATTTAAGTATTAAGTACTACTGTTCTATATTTTATATTAGTTACTAATTTTCTGGTAAAACCAAATTAAAAATGTTCATTCCAAGCGATTCAAAATAATTTGTTGCACTTTCAAAACTTAACACAAATTTATCTTACATTCCAATTTTTATGAACGATTTTAATGATTTTCTTAATTCTGCAAAATTTTTAGTACCACTTCTTCCGGCAATTCTAATAATATTCTATCTTTTAAATATTTTCAGGTGTTATACCATGAAATAGTATCACATGCTCGAGTGGTAAGTGCATGCATACGTGCAGCATCTGAAAGAGAACAGCAACAACAATATCAAGAAGAGCAGCAACAGCAACAGTTGCAGCAGCTGCAACAACCGCAATTATTCAACAGCAACTTAAGCTCAATTGGTCAACAAAACAATTTATCGCTTTCATCGACAGATGAAACATCAACAACTGCATCATCATCGATAACGACTCAGACGATAAGCAGCATCGGTAGTGGCAGTGGCAGTGGTAGTGGCAGCGGTAGTTGTTATAGTAGTGGCATCGGGAGTGAAGTTACTAATTCTTTAAGTGGTTGTAAAGGCATCACTACTGAAAGCACTAAAACAACCGCAGGCGCACATCTAGCGGTAGGGGCGACAGCAATAGCAGCAACTGCAACTAAAAAAAGTGAAGGAAATTTGGAACGCTTACAGAATCGTTATCATTTGCTATACTTGAAAGCGTTTGAGGTGCAATTGTGTTTAGACGGTTTATTACGCAAGAAGAGCTCATCAGCGGTAAGTTTATTGCAAATTTTCTTTATCTGCAATTTTTATATTTTTGTTGTGCCAACATAAGTACAAAAGGAGGCGTAACATAGACATTCAGTTCCCTCGGTTGTTGTAATGAAGCCGTCATTAGTGTTGTTCATAATAGCATAAATTGCGTAATAAATGTACTCTACAACTTATTCACCTATTCATTTTATTTTAAGTATTTCCGCCCAGAAATCTTCACAGTAAAAAATAGGAAAATATAAAAATAACTTTGTATTTTTACTTTACAATGTTTGAAATGAAGAAATTTATTCAAAAATGCCTAACTTGAACTTGAAAGCACTTAAGTACCAGAAAACTTTCGATAAAAATAAAACATTATTTTCACTCACAACACATGAGATTCGTTTGCATTCGTTAGGAAACTTGTTTAATTTCATTAAAAAAATTTCAAATAATTTAAATATTTTAGCTGCATTTTTTCATAGCTTGGCAAAGAGTTTTAGATAGGCAATTTGAATAGGTGTAACATGTAAGGAGAAATATTTATTCGCCATTGTTATATGAAATGGGGACATTGCACTAAATACTTTACGAATTTTTTTTGAATTCTTTTTACAGTCGAGGTATTATTTCTATGTAGTTTCTGTGGTACAATCAAAAGTCTTTTAAACAAACACTGATACGACCGGCAATTCTGTCTGACTAAACTAGATAGACCAGCGATATTACACTGTTATAATAACTGGCTGAACACATCTAATTGCGTGTGATGTGGGATGTAATTAGAATTCGTTTTTTTTATGCACTATCTCTGCTATCTCACTATCTCTGCTCTCATTTCTTGTAGGCTTATTTACTATAGTTAGAATAATCCCATAGGTCAAATATGCGGCGTAACTTGTTGCCAATTTGAACGCATTATGTCTGTCTTATAGAAGTCCTCGCCCCTATTGACAAAAAATTGAGACAGTCAATTTTCGGAAACCTCTCTTGAAGCGAATTTTTTACCAGAAAAAAAGTTCGCCATGAACAGGAACAGATGGTTATCAATTAATGCCAGGTCTGGACTAAACAGATGTATAAGAAGTTTCCCACTAAAAAAAGGGGTTTTTTGTGCAATATGTAATCATTAGCTCTTAAAGAATCGATACAATGTTTACATGACGGTTGGATTCGACATGAATTTCACGATTTTATCGACATTTTTGACAATTGACCTTCAAATTCGTGATGCATCATTGACATCGAAATTACCGGAACGCAAATGACGAAACCAAATCCACTATTCACATTTTCAACCATTTAGATTGCGTTTTCGCCCTTATTAAAGAAAAACTGTTAAACTTCGTATGAAATTTCATCTTTCTTACCTTATTTCGGATGTCAGTATGCTATTAATGAACATATTCATCAAATTAACGAATTAATATCATTTAAAAAATATTAAATTGATTGTAATGATTATATATCTTTCATTCTTTCATCGAAAATCCATTGAACTTTCAGAAAATCCATATGAGTACTTCGGAGCATGAAATATACAAGATTCAATAAGTTTTTTTCACTGTAAACTGACAGCATAAATTTCACCAATTTATATACAATGTATTTACTAAACATTACATCACATAAATGCCAATTTAAAAAACGTTAACAAGTTTCAGTCAATTATAGCCCAAAGATTTTTAAAAGCAACAAATTGCCTCCTTTCGATTTGTTATACATATAGTAGATAAATTTTATACATTGAAATTTAATTATTATGCCAATTCGAATGTAGACTTCAACATCTGATTGAAATTTTATCACAAAATTGACGAATGCATTTTTCAAATTGTTAAAAAATAAATCATTAAAATTGTTAACAAGATTGTTTTGTTTAATTATTGCTATCGAATTTGATTGCTTATTAAATTCGAAGTATCTGCAAAACTTGCTTCGACTTTTAATAGGTATGCACTGCAGTCACGCCCAAGTCGTTTACAACAAAAACAAAAAAAGCAATTGTATTACATTGTTTTATAAGCAAAAAAAATATCTAAGCAATTTCACTACAATTGTTGATATATGTAAGGCAAATTCACATATGCCTCTAGTTAGGTTTTGAATTTAGCGTAAAGTATATATCTTATTTAAATTGGCTAACACATATAAAATAACACTCATCGAGACACCTGGTATGCGATTTTAACGAGATGGCTATCAAAACTTGTGTAGAATGGTCACAACTTGGTGCAGGCATGCTATTTGAGAATGTTTCTTTAAGTTATGAAAAAAAAATCTAAGCTCAGATCAATCACTAGTTCTTTAATGAGATATGCTACTATGAACTACCACTTTCAAAGTTGTGATTAAAAGAAACCGACACATGTGAAATTTGTAAGATACACACTAAAACTTTAGCAGATCTTTTGCTATTTTTTTTTTTTTTTGATTGTGCGGAAGATCAATAGCTTTACATGTAATGGTTGGTTAGTTGCAGTGGCAGGCCATTAGATAACTTCCATGTACTTCAATTAGCGATTTTTCGCCGTTTTGCTATACCACATTTCTCGCAAGAATACTAGTATAGAAGGGTTATGACTAAATCCATTCCGACGAATTTAGATAATTAAATAGGTCTTTCGTCTTCATTAATGAACAGTCTGATAGACTATCAAAGATATGTCTTCCTAAGAATCTCTATCTTCTGGACGCTAAAGCCGGGCATTTTTTTTTTCACTATATGTAATATTTATTAAAATTTTTGTTTCATAAATTAAAGTCTCTTCAAATTATATTAATGAAACTACTGTACTTTAACATTAAAGAATAACCATTGTTATTTATTTGTATTTTTTTTAAATATAAGACCCGAGTACCTTTCATATTTACTTGTTTTCCCCTCCGTCTCCTTATTTGTTATTTTCGGTATCCAGCTTGAATTTTTTTTTTTTATTTATTATCTATAGCGTCTTACAACTTCTTCGTATGTTCATTTTATCATACTATCAATCTATAATAACAAAACTTAATAGTTTATCTAATATTGACTAAAGTGATAAATGCAGACATTGCATTTACATAATTGTTGTTGTGCGATACATATGAAGAGTTATGCTAAAAATCAATAATTAGCTAACAAAATTTCCATTTTTAATAAGTCATTTGCAATAAATAGTTTACTCTTTCAATTATACATTTAATTTAATTTTAAACTAACAAAAAGATGCATGTAGTTCATAAGTCAACATCATTGTTATTGCAAGTTTGTTGTTTTTTTTATCATAGTATTTGCATTTACCATTTTGTTTCTTATGCTCTTATGCCCTTCAATTCAACTCTAATGTGTAGATTATGCTATGAAAAAGAAAACAGTAATAATTGTTGAATGAAAGTGCCACTGGACTTGAAAATGTCTATAGTAAAATCTGTATAGAAATTTTTATTGTTGAATAATCAAAGTCTAAATAATTTACTAAAAAATATAAAATAAACATTTATATTAAAAATAATATATTAAGTTGTAAATTTCTTAAAAATTTCTCATATTTGTGCACTAATTTTCAAACATTTATCACTTTTCATATATTTCAAATTTTAAGTTCGTACTATACATGTAAATTAATGACACAAATAAACTCATAAACAATTTCAGTTTTACTATAAACATATTTCCTTTTAAATTCAGTCAAAGAAGTGGAGCAACATTTTTCCGATTACCTACCTCAGGTGTTTTTATGGAGATATTTTTCCTTTGGTGAGAAAGAAAAAGTGTTGAAATTGATCGTGATTTGGAGCGATACTAAATGTAATCATGCAAATCGTAAATAAATTTTTTTTATGCTCCAGAATTGTGCACATGAAAAATGTGTCATGGAAAAAGTATAAAAAACTGAACTGAAGATAAAATAAAATTGCTGTAGTAAAATCTAAATTACAGAAAAAATTTAGTTTCAGATTGTTCAATACTTGGACTGATTGATGGATGGTTCATGAAATAATGTAATCATTTAAGCAATGTTAAAGAAATTTTTTTCTTCTTTCCAACACTCATTGTGAACTTTACTTTCAATTGTAAAACTGCACTAGTTTCGTCTTTTATATTTTTCTATTTTGAGTTCTATTTTAAGTATTAGTGTTTTTTTGTTTTTTGCTCGATGTATTGCTTTTAATGGTCATAGAAAAATTGCTTTATAAATTATTCCATAACCTCTAGGCAATATGTATACATCACCATCGATTGCCATGATTTGTTGTCTAATACAATACATTGTGACCGAAAAGTTTCCGGTCATAAATAAATAAAACGCAAAATTCTTAATCTTCATCAATATTTATTTTATCTCCTTCAAAATATGCTCCATTAGAAGCGATACACAAATGCCAACGTTTCTTCCAATCATCAAAACATTTTTTATAGGCGCTTTCCGGTATGGCTTTGAGTTCCCTCTGCGAATTCTGTTTTACGTCTTCTATGGATTCAAAACGCGTTCCTCTGAGTGGTAATTTGAGGTTGGGAAACAGGAAAAAGTCACACGGTGCAAGATCAGGTGAATACGGTGGCTGTTCGATGGTATTTATTGAATGTTTGGCCTTAAAATCGTTGATAATGTTGAACAAATTGAGGTGAATCGGAACAAGCCGGGCGTTGACACGTCGCATACACAAATTGTCCACCAAAATCAAACGAGCCATCTCACGACCGATGCCTAGCTCTCGTGCTATCTCTCTAACACTCACATGAGGATTTTTGAACACGATTTCCTTTGCCTTTTCAATGTTTTCGTCGGTGGTAGAGGTCGAAGGTCGTCCAGAACGCGGCATGTCTTCGACGGTCGTACGACAGTCCTGAAAGGCTTTGTACCACTCATAAACTTGAGTTTTCGATAAAACTGATTCCCCATAAGCCTTTTGTAGCATTCGCAACGATTCTGCACACGAAATTTCGTTCGAAAAACAAAATTTGATGCAAACTCTTTGTTCAATATTTTTTTCCATTGTTTTTTTCGCAACGCACTACTGAGGTGAACTGGTTT